GAGATCTGACTTGGCTGGTCCCAGGCTCTCTTCTAGACAGCTTCAGCCAATGCCTCGCAGAACCATTAAATAGCAAGAGAATACTATAACTGTCTTCCCTACACTTCTCTTTTCTTAAGAACTCACCTTTCTCAAGACAATTTTACAGAAAAGGAAGAGGAAAATACAAGAGGCATAATGTCAGAGTTCAAATTAATGGGGAAATCTACTTCAAGTTGTAAATATGTGAGTTTTCTTTTTCCAAAATCAGAAGGCATTTAAAAATTTTTTTAATTGGACACAATAGAATATCTTCTTAAAGTAAAATTACCAAAACCCAATTACTCACAGGTACTGGCTGCTACCATTGTGTTATCTTTCCAGATTTCTTCCAGGCATGTAGATTTTTTTCCCCCAAGATAACATTATATGATACATTCAGTGTTTCAATCTATCACTGAAAGGGAATATTACCATGTCTACAAGTTCTACATTATCAATCTAAATGACTGTAATACTAGATTGTTCTACTGTACCATAATTTACTGAAATAATTTTATGTATCAGACATTAACTTAAATTCTAATTTCCTCTATGATCAACTTCTTTTTGTACTTACGATAGTAAGCACTAACACGTTAGCATAAATTCTTAAAGTAGAATTACTGCATGAAAGGATTTTCATATTTTAAGTTTTGACACATATTTCCAGAATGACCCCAGAAAATTTGTCCTTTTGTATACACTCCCACCAACCACTATGGCGTTGACCAACTTTTCATATGGGACGGACCAACTGCATTTCTCTGTGAATTATGACCCATTTTTGCTTTAAAGTATCTATCTGTTTCTTACTGATTGACAAAAGTTCTTTATACATCAAAGATATTAAGCCTATTTGTATTATGTTTTTTACATATATTTTCCCAGGTTTCTCATTTCTTTTTAACTTATTTTTCATGCTTTTGAACATTAAAGTTTCCTATTTTTATTTAGTCAAACCTAATAATCTTTGGTGCTATTCTTCAAAGTCCTCTACCCCCAAACTTATAAAAACATTTAGTTAAACTTCTTTCTAATATTTTAATTAATTTTTTGACATTTATATTACTAAGATGACAAAATCTTCAGTCTTCTATTCCCATGAGAAGTTAAAAAGTAATATAATTTCTTTCAGCTCATAGCATCTACCTCTAAAAAGAAATCAAACAAAAAGAAAAAGAAATCAAACATTCAGACACTACAAAAAATGGGCTGCTTCTTTACAATACCTTAATCATCAGCTAAAACTAGAAAACTAACATATTATTTGACCTAGTAAGTCCAGATGCACATAAAAATGTATTTACAAAATGTTGAGGGCAGCATTATTTGAAAATAGTAATTAGAGCCCAACTAGGCAAACTGAAGAGGTCAATGTATGAGTTTTGTGACCCCTCACCTAAATATATTCTATAAGCTTGACTCCCAGTGCCACCCACCCACCCCTAGTTTCCATATTCCCTCTCCAACCCCTGTCTCCCAAGATTGGTATGCTCGCCTGGCTAGCAACCCCCAATCCAGTCTAGCCCTAATGACCAATGCTTATTCTTGACCTGCCTGGTTGCCATATACCTAAGAAAACCATTCTCTACCTTAGCAGTCAATGTATTTACCCATTGCATTCTACAAAGGATTAGGGAGATCTTACAGCAACAGCAAAAAAACACACATACTAAAACAATAAAATGTAAGTAAGAAACTGTTAAGAGACTACACTTGAAAAAGTACGGAGTAGGAAATTAAGCCAAATATGTGTTTCGAGGATATGGAAGACAAAGTAAGGGGAAATGGTCCAGTACATAGTCTTCATTGTCTATGAGGAAGAATCTTACTGGTTTCCCAGGGGAGCACTCCCTTACACTGGGGTTTAGGACAAATGTTTCCCTTGTGGTCTCAAATAGGGACACTGAATAGATCCTGCCCTTAATACAGTCTTAAGGTGGGCTCTCCTTTTTAGACACCCCTGTTAAAGACAATAACATAATTCTGAATACAGAATACCATTTGCAAGGCTTTCTATTTGTTAGGTGGCACTAAAAAACTCCAAAGTGCCAGTTTTAGGTAATGTTATTCCTGGATGCTGGCATAGATTCCTATCAGATCATATTAAAAAAAAAAAAAAAAACTTTTAAGAAAAAATTCAATTTTCAACAGGAATTAAAAGGCTCCAGTGAAAAGTATATATGGGATCTAGGAAAATCGACAGAGAAGTTTATTTCAGAGGCTTTTTTAAAAGATGTATTTATTTATTTGGGGAGGGGGGAGCTGAGGGAGAGGGAGAGAGAATCCTAAGCAGATTCCCTGCTGAGCACAGAGCCCATTGCAGGGCTCCATCCCATGACCCTGACTGAGATCATGACCTGAGCCACCCAGGTGCTCCCAGAGGCCTTTTATATGTCCCAACCCCTCAAGTTAAATCATAAAAAGCTCTCAACTATAACAGAACTGGAAAAAGAAACATCAAGAAATAGGTTGTTTGCAGGATGCTTTGTTATGCTTTTATTTCAGGGAAAGTACTCGCTTCTTCTTTCATCTGGTTTACTCTTTTCTTTCTTAGCCTGTTCTCTTCAAATATAATGTCATTCCTGCAGCTACCAAGACTATCTATTTTCTATTGTTGAACTGGATTTTAGTCATCTCAACTATTTGAATTTTTAAAACTTATCTGTCCTTGGACATACTGATATTCTTATTGAAAAGAGTTTTGTCCTCTGATGGCCAAATATCTGATTTGAAAAAAACAAACAAACCTATTTTGCTATAATATAGCAATAGTAGAAAATCCCTGAGGTTTGAATCATCAAACCTGGTTAAAAATCTCTTTCTATTAGTCTATTTTAGAATCCACATATAAGTGAGATTATGCAGAACTTGTTTTTCTGTGTCTGGCTTATTTCATTTGCATAACATGCTCTACTCATAGAAGCAGAGAGTAGAATGGTGGTGACCAGGGGCTGGAGGGAGCAGGAGATGGGAGGTGTCGGTCAAGGAGCACAACATTTGAGTTACGCAAGATGAGTAAGTTCTGGAGATCTAATGTACAGCATGGTGACTACAGTTAAAAATACTTTATTGTATACTTGAAATTTGTTAAAAGGGTAGATCTTAAGTGTTTTCATGACAAACAAAAAAGAAACGGAAAAGTACTTGAATATTAAAAAAAAATTCTCTTTCACCAAGTCAGACTGGTTCTTGAAAAATAAACAGGGCGCCTGGGTGGTTCAGTCGTTAAGTGTCTGCCTTTGGCTCAGGTCGTGATCCCAGTCTCCTGGGATCGAGCCCCGCATCGGGCTCCTTGCTCAGCGGGGAGTCCAGTTCTCCCTCTCCCTCTGCCCCTGCTTGTGTCCCCTCTCTCGCTGTGTCTCTCTCTGTCAAATAAATAAATAAAATCTTTAAAAAAAAAAAAAGAAAGAAAAATAAACAATCTTCTCTGTTCACCCCTAAAGTGAGGAGTTTTGGATTAAGTCACCTCTGAATCTTTAACAGTCTGTCCATAATACCTGCATGTGCTCTGAACAAAGACTGCAGCTCTACCCTCTATCAAGAGCCCTGTGGGCCCAGTGAGGTCCAAGTGTCTCTGAGTGCCCAGAGGATTACTTATCAGGGCCTGATTCTTCTTTTCCTTTAAAGGAGGAGGTGAGGATTAAGTAGCAGACTATTTAATCAACCACTTAAGCCTTATCTACCCACTATAATTCTGGTAAACCAAAGTTAAGTTCCAGACTCTCTCATCTGGCAGAATGGTACAGGGAGAAAGCCTCTGGAATCTGTTAAACAAAAATTATTCACTGGACACTTGTTTAAAATGGCAAGACAAATTTTATTCAAGACTATTGCAACAGGGGCCAAGATGATTGCAATAAAGGAAAGAGATTAAGCTTAACTCCAAATACAATAAAGATAGGTGGGGATTTATAGCCAATGAGCAGAGTGAGGGGGTCAGTGGATGGAAAATTACGAAAAGGACGCATCAAGACCAAGGAATTCATGCTAAACTGGCTCAACAGGACTCTTACAAAGATACGCCAAGGACTTAGATACAAGGAGTTAGATACCAAGGGCCAGGGATGACGCATTGATCAGACGTCAAGGGTAGGGGCTTCTTGCTAAACTGATTTAGCAGAATTCTCAGCAAGTAAAGACACAGAAAGCCAAGATCCAGGCCTAGTTGAAAAGAGGGCTCAGAGGAGCCCAATTAACATTTGGTCTTTGTCAAGTCCAAAAAACTATTTGGATTTGAATCCTCGATTTGCCACTGACTAACTTTGCAGTTGTGCAAATGTGGGTAAGACATTAACTTCTCCTTAAGCTTCAGCTTCTCCAGTATAACATGGAGATGATCATAACCACTCTCTAGACCCCACAGAGACATCATGAGAATGAAAATCAAGATGAGATGCTGCCGGTGAAAGCCTTTGGTAAAGTATAAAGCCCTGCACACATGTGAGGAAGCTACTCTTGCAGGACATAAGGCAAGCCATTAGTCAAATGACCATAGTCTTGCCATCTCACTCTTGTCAGAGGAAAGGCATCGGAGTATGATGGCTCTTGCTGTCCACTCAGGGTATTTCCAATAGGAAAGAAGAATCATCAGGGTAAAGAATTTCCTGGCCGGGCGCCTGGGTGGCTCAGTTGGTTAAGCAACTGCCTTCGGCTCAGGTCATGATCCTGGAGTCCCAGGATCGAGTCCCGCATCGGGCTCCCTGCTCAGCGGGGAGTCTGCTTCTCCCTCTGACCCTCTTCCCTCTCATGCTCTCTATCTCTCATTCTCTCTCTCTCAAATAAATAAATAAAATCTTTAAAAAAAAAAAAAAGAATTTCCTGGCCACAAAAGGGGAGACTGTAGCGCAGTTTTTCTGCATAGTCATGATGATCTGGATGCTCTAGAGAGCCTTATAAGAATATACAATAAATGATGCTGTCCCCTCACGACACTCTACTCCTAACCCTAACGTACCTTCTCCCAAGGTAGACCTGGAGGAGAATGGTCTGCACCATGGGCCAGAGCAACCACACCAGTGTGAAGGAATTTGTCTTCCTGGAACTCACTCACTTCCGAGAGCTAGAATTGTTCTTGTTTGTGGTCTTCCTTGCTGTGTATGTAGCAACCGTGCTAGGCAATGCCCTCATTGTGGTGACCATCACCTGTGAGTCCCACCTTCACGCTCCTATGTACTTTTTGCTGCAGAACAAATCAGTCCTGGACATTGTTTTTTCATCTGTCACTGTTCCCAAGTTCCTGGTGGACCTGTTATCAGAGAAGAAAACCATCTCCTACAATGGCTGCATGGCACAGATCTTCTTCTTCCACTTCACTGGTGGGGCAGACATTTTCTTCCTCTCTGTGATGGCCTATGACAGATATCTTGCAATCGCCAAGCCCCTGCATTATGTGACCATTATGAGGAGAGAGGTGTGGGTGGGTTTGGTGGTGGCTTCCTGGGTGGGCGGTGGTTTGCACTCAATTGTCCAGATAATTCTCATGCTCCCGCTCCCCTTCTGTGGCCCCAACATCCTGGAAGCCTTCTACTGTGACGTGCCCCAAGTGGTTAAGCTGGCCTGCACAGACACCTTTGCCCTGGAGCTTCTCATGATCTCTAACAACGGGCTGGTGACCCTGCTGTGGTTCCTCCTGCTCCTGGGGTCTTACACCGTCATTCTGGCGATGCTGAGATCTCACTTTGCGGAGGGGCGGAAAAAGGCCCTGTCCACCTGCACCTCCCATATCCTCGTGGTGACTTTGCACTTCGTGCCTTGCATCTATATCTACTGCAGACCCTTCACTACGCTGCCCATGGACACTGTGTCCATCAGTAACACGGTCATTACCCCCATGCTGAACCCCGTGATCTACACCCTGAGGAACCAGGAGATGAGGTCAGCCATGAAAAGACTGCAGAGAAGGCTTGGGCCTTCTGAGAGCAGTAAGCTGGGGTGAGCACTCACATGGAGACTGGAAATCTATGATCTGGGTTCCTCGAACTGCTATCCTGAGGCAACGGATGGCTAGCTCTCTCACCAGTCATTTCTATATATCCTCATAGCTGCTCAACTCTCTTAGCAGGAATCTAACAACAAAAAGAAGAGAAGAGATTGAACATGAGTTATTGAGTTGTGAACTTGGGAGAAGCAGTGGGTAGAAGATGGAAATCAATTACCTAATGCTATTTTGGTGTAATCTGTGATTCTCTGCCAACATATATTACATTAGTTTTACACCCTGCAATATGGAAATGACATTGTCTGTTCACAAGGTGTTCATGAGGATGAAGAATGATAAATGTTGAGAGGATGGTGGTTCTGAAGATTAGCACCACTGGTGGTGTTAATCAGGCACGCAATCCAGTTCCCTATTGTCTATCCCTCTAATCCTAAATATGCACATGTGGAGATTATGGATGTGTTTATTTCATACGTGCTCTCTCTAATGACTCTGTATTTCCAGTTAATTATTAAAATCACTTCTTGATTTAATATTCTGAGTACAGAATCTTCAATATATTTCACCAACTAGTGAAAAGAGAAAAAATGTTTTAAACGTGTTCAGTCGGATATATACATGGGCAAATCTACACATGGACCAAGAATTTCCTCTTCTCAGGTCCATTCTACTAATTTGCCCATGGAAATTAACCTCAAAAGTGCTTGTATGGTTTGGGGATATATCTGCACAAATTCCACCGTGGTAATTTATTTTATGTTAACCTGAACTTTCTTCTTCCCCCTCTTCTCTCCCCATTTCACCCTCAGAGCTTTTATAGCTGGAGCAAATCTATAGGTTTTGTCTTTGAATGCCTGACAATTCAAGAGAAGTCACTTAGAACAACAACAAAAATACCTAAGAGATACCTTTTCACACACTCAATACCCATTTTGTGTACCCGGAGAGGGAAGAAACATATCATATGCAGGGTCATTTAGGAATAGCCACTGGGTCTGTGTTGTAATCCACATCTCTCCAAAGAAGAATTCCACAGAATTTAATATGTAGAAAGACAATAAATGTTTCTTCACTCCCTATGCTCATGTCACATTCCACCCTCCAGTCTACAATCGTCATTCAGAAATCAATTAGTAAAAAAGCAACATACAGTAAATCAGAATATTGTAACATACAGAACAATTTTTTGTAAATTGTTATGATGCATTAAAAGGTCCTAGGAAGTGACACATAAATGTGATCTTCTCTGAATCCTACAAGACAGAGACATTAGGCCAAGACTTTTTTTTTTTTTTTTTTACCTTTGTTTTTATTTTATACAGAATTTACTCCCAGGCCATAAGGTTTTTATCTTTAGTTTCTTCTGGGATATCTTTTTCTTCTGTGCAACCTCCTCTTCTAGTTTAGGAAAAACCTTCTCTCTTTCAGTAAGGAGCATCTCAGAGGGGCAGGGAGAGCTCATGTGTGGGTTAACCTGACCATGAGCCCTGTAAATTCCATGCTGCATCTTGGGAGCTTTGTTCACCTGGATGTCCTCAGTGACCAGAGAACCTACATCTAAACCCTTAGGGTCAGCATGACTCTCTGATTTTTAAGCATGTACAGTAGAAATTCAGTACTCCTTTTGGGCCACCGACCCTGTATCCCGCCCCACTATTTGGCCTGGGCGCACCGACCAACTCTACCATTATAGCAACAGTATGGCACACATTGTTTCTGCAAAGTGACATCCTTCAGATACTTACTTGGTGGTTTTTCAGATATGCATACCCCTTGATGGCCTGGGTAGTTTTATGTGTGTTCTTAAAGAGAACATGAAGATTTGCATGATTTTGTAGGGTTTTCTGGGTCAAGTGAATAGTGAACAATTTTCAGAGGTCACTTCAGGCCACTTACGGAAGAGGCTAGGCCAAGACTTTTAATCATATGTCCGTGCTTCTCAAATTTTTAAAAATTATTGTCCCCCTCCAAGGAACTTTATTAGATATTTTTCCTAATTGCTCTCCCACAAGAAAAAAATTTTTTAAAGATTTTATTTATTTATTTATTTGACACAGAGAGAGTAAGCGGGGGGGGGTTGCAGGCAGAGGGAGAAGGAGAAGCAGGCTCCCCACTAAGCAGTGAGCCCAATGCAGGGCTCAATCCCAGGACCCTGGGATCATGACCTGAGCCGAAGCCAGACGCTTAACTGACTGAGCCACCCAGGCACCCCACCCTAAGAAAATTTAATACCAAAGATATACAGCATATCTTTTTATGTACTGAAATTCTTTGAAGGGCCACACAGCATTGTAATATCTAAGATTTTTTTGGCCCCCAAGAACCAATTTTTGTCCCCTTGGGCATGTTGCTCACATTGAGAATGAATGATCATATGACATTAGATGTTTCTATTAATATGTTTCCCTAAAATTCAGAGAATCACAGAACAGATAGATTTATGCCTTCTGGTGTTTTACAAGAATTCAGAAAACAGAAACGTGGGCATCTGTGTGTATGTATGCATGTGCGTATGTGTGGACTCGCATGCAGCAATGACTTGGAAACTGTTTAATAACCCCCACTGGAACTCCAACATGATCAAAGAAGGTCTGTTCTCTTTCCACACTCATGCCCAGTAAAATTCCCTTTGCTAATTCTTGTATTTAGGCTTGGGCCTGAGGGACTAGTGCATGTGACAGGGGCAAGCAGAAGAGCCATGATGACACAACTCCCTGAGTCTGCCCTTTCCAATGTGAAGGTGGAAGAGAAGACCTTGAAGTCTAGTGTTCTCTAATCTTGAGATGCATCTGACCTTCTAACATGATGGTTCCCCAGCGTCATATACGCTGACACCCACCCACCCAGTCTCAGATGGTGCGAATTCCTGGTTGGACACCAAAGGTTTAGGTAAGGACATGGACCTCTCAGTGTGGGACATTGTGGATTATGCATGAATAGGATAAGCATGAAAAATGTACCCAGTGCGTTAGATACTGCAAAAATAACTCTCTCTTTAGTGAGAGAAAATGATGTGGGTGTTAAATATTGGGAAAAGAGGAATGTCTTTCTAAGAAGGAGCCACAGACATGGGGTCAGCATGCTTAAAGAGAAAGCAGCTGGTATTTGGTAGAACAACTGAATTGCATTTAAGGAGATTTTATTCCAGCTTAGGGTCTGTACATGGGGATCACAGAGCATTTTTACACAGGATGGGTGTTCCCTTAAAAATACATGATTCTAAAATGCCCTAAATTCCCTTGAAAACTGTAGAGGTTTGGGGGTACCTGGGTAGCTCAGTCAGTTTAGCATCTGCCTTTGGCTCAGGGTGCTGGGATCAAGCCTTGCATTGCGCTCCCTGCTTGGTGGGAAGCCTGCTTCTCCCTCTCCCTCTGCTTGTGCTTGGTGCTCGCTCTCTCTCTCTCTGTCAAATAAATAAATAACACCTTAAAAAAAAAAAAAAAGCTGTAGAAGTTTCAAAGGGAGCCCCATATCCACACATTGCCCATGATTCACTGAGTATCTTTTGCCTTTGACCCAGAGCCAGCTTTATTCCCAAACCCGATGGTCTAGCACTGAAACCTCTGACCCATTTGGTTAACCCACACAAGTTCATTGAAATACAAACAAGCAAATTGGTTCAAAGAGAAGCTGTTCTACTGAATAGCATTTTACATTCTGCCAACGTCTTCTTAAATAACTCTTCATGACAACCAGGGAAGATCCCGTTTTCAGGGGATAGGGAAAGAAATTAAGTTAATTGAATGCCTACTATGTGCTGGGAACTTTACAGACATAATCATAGTTGCTCTTTATGCTACCCAATGAAGTAAGTATTATGCTTCCTAGTTTACAGAGGAGGAAACTGAAGAAAAATAGAGGACTTGCTCCAGGTAAAAAAGAAGGAAGAGGCAGAATTCCAGTCCAGGTATGCCCTACTCCAAAGCCCTTAACATTGTTCCACACCATATCACACTATTTTACAACTGAGGATCTGAGGCAGAGAGACGAATGACTTTTTCAAGGTCACAAAGCTATTTTATAGATCAGAATATGCATCTCTATCTGGTACCCCTGGGGTCAAGTCAAGGACATTAACAAAAGAGTTGCTTAGCCTATGTTTGTCAAGATCCTTCTCACTCACCCTCATTCCAATGCCAATGCTTATAAGTCATGATGAACACTTACCAGGTAGGTTTATTCATTAATTAAAAAAACAAACAAACACATTTTTTGAGCACCTAACACTTGCCCAAACTAGGTAAAGCTTTGGTGATGTTAGGATGAATGAAACACTGAGCAGGTAGGATGAACTTGAGGGGTAATAGGGAAATTATACTGAACTAAGGAGAGACAGACATGTAAGAACTTAGATGGAATGATCTGTTACAACTACCAGAAGAGAAGTCAGTGCAGAGAATGATGAGTCCCAAAGGGGTGTCAGGAAAGTTTTCACAGAATAGGAGGCTCTGAACCTGAGTGTTGAAAGATCAGTGTCTGTGAAGGCGGATAAATAGGAGATTCTGGAAGTGGGGAGGGCATGGTGGGTAGAGCAAGCTGCAGGAACACAGATCCGAAGGTGTGGGCCAGCAAAAATTTGCATAACATTTAAATACCTGAAACAGAGGATCGAGGAAACAGGGGCCAGACAATACCAACAGGAGTTTAATCTTTATTCTGTAAACAATAGACAATAGACAATAGACAATATTCTGTTCAGACAAATGAATATATGGTATTCTGTAGACAATAGGCAACATTCTGTAGACATTAAAGATTTTCAGACAAATGAATATATGGTCCCATTTGTGACTTGTAATTACATTTCTGGAAAAAACAGGATGAATTAGAGAAAACTACACTGAAGGAAAGGAAACCAGTTAGGAAACTTGCAATGATCTAAGGAGAAATGACAAGGGGTTAACTGAGGAGGAAGAGAAGGGGACACACTGGGAGAGGTGAAGAAAGTAGAATCCTCAGGATAGTTTTTACAGTGTCCCGGTTCCTTGCAATGTGAGTGGCTCAGTAGAAGTCTTTTGGATAAAACATGCTGCCTATCAGTACCTGCTGTGGAGGCCACTGTGCTCACCAAGA